CATATATTTTTAAACTCCTTACCACTGATTGCTATAATTAAGCAGAACATTAGAATAGGTGATTTTATTTTTAAAACCAAAACTAAAGAATCTCCTGTAACAAAACATTTTATCTTTTTCTCAGTTGACAAATTGCGGCACATTACAGCATATTGCTGAAAACCTTTTTTATTGACAAGAGGCAGTCAGGCCTAGCAACCCTTTCATTCTTGTCTGTTATCTTAGAATCAATTGCACAGCCTGGTGCACTGATTAATGACTGGAGAGAGTTCTGCAGAATTTGACCCATCTGGTCACTGAGGAAACCCACCCCATGGGCTTCTCATCGATTTACCAAGAACTTTCTTCTACACAGAGGTGACCTCAAAGATTTCACCTGGCCTGATATTTTAAGAAATGGTTGTCTCTGTATTATAGTCTAAAAGGAATAAAAGTAACCTTAAGACTAGTAGATACTCAGCTTTATTTTTAATTTAGATCTTATAGTTCAAGTGAATCTATCTTATAATCTAAGAAAAGATCACAAGCTTTATAGGTCACAGTCAATATTATCTAGAGCTGTGACTGGTTTTAGTTGCTATGTACCTAGTTTCTACAGTTCCTTTTAAAACACACTTTGTTTTGAAACCAACAATCAGAATAAATAATTAATCAAGCAATTGTTGTGGAACTGATTGCTGGTACACAGTACATTTGCTAAATGTTGAAATAACTGAACATGTCAACATTTGCTCCACTGAAATTTTTTTTGCATTTCCCACTTAAAGAGGGACTAACCTCTAGAAGCTGTGTCCACAAAAAAAGCAGACAAAGGGTAAAGCATTAGTCACCAGTATTATTTGTGGTCTCGTCAGAGCTGATATTTTCTGATTACTGACTTACTATGCCTTGTTGTGCACTGTGCCTACCCAAACAAACCCTATCACCACTCCAGTCGATCCAAAACTCAGCGGCCAGACTCATCCACCTCACCAAGCGCTCCACATCTGCCTCCCCCCTCTGCCAATCCCTTCATTGGCTCCCGATTGCCCAACGCATCAAGTTCAAGCTGCTAACCCTGACCTACAAGGCCACTCACAATGCCGCCCCGAACTACATAACTGACCTGATACCCAGATACTACCCTACCCGTGCCCTCCGCTCCTCCCAGGACCTCCTGCTCTCTAGCTCCCTGGTCTCCTCCTCCCACACCCGATTGCAGGACTTCCCCCATCCTCTGGAACTCCCTACCCCAATACATCAGACTGTCACCTACCCTCCTCATCTTCAGGCGCACCCTGAAAACCCTCCTCTTCAGGGAAGCCTACCCCAACCTCACCTAACACCCGACCTCACCTAACAACTAACCTCCCCCACTCCACCCACCACTCCATCCCCCACAGCCATCTCCTCCTGTGCCACCTTCCCCTCCCTCTAGATTGTAAGCTCGAAAGAGCAGGGCCCTTGAACCCCTCGTGTATTGTATTGTTACTGTCTTGTCTCATGTTCTGTCCCCCTTGCTACTGTACAGCGCTGAGCATACCCTTTGGCGCTATATAAACACTGTATAATAATAATAATAATCTGTCTAGGGGTGGCCATCTTGGTAGAAAGGCAAGGCTTTGTTTCTACATGTCAGCCACTAGCAAGAACACCAGTGAGCAGAACAGTGGTGACAAAACACAATTTTACTCCAGATCTCATAAGACTAGCAGTTGGAGGCAGCAGTGCCTTAGATCTCACACTACACTATATGACTGAACAAAACAGGAGTGCTTAGGTATCCTCACATACCAAGAAGAACACAGCTAATTTTCCAGAGGAATCAAACAAAAGGTGCATTTTTCAGGGTACCTCTTAGACACAGCATTCTCGCAATTTTTTTTTTATAATATAGCAAATATATTTCTTTTAACTTAGTTCACCTGTGTGAATTATTGTTACCTGGAAGGAGGTAATTACATTTTTTAATTTCTGGCTATGGCAGATCTAAAAAACATTTTAGCCTTCCAAATGTGGGGATGATGCATTTGAGCTAGACAGAAAAGCCAGAATTAGCAGAGATGTCCTTTTAAAGTTATTCCAATAGCACAGACAATTTCAGGACCTAGACAGCAAAGCCCACAATTTATGAAGAAAGAGAAGAATCTGTTTAAAGAAAAAAAATGTAAAATGAAAAAAAAAAAAAGATAGGATTTGAAAAACTGGTTGCAATCCACCAATGCTATTTGCTTCATGGGTTTCAGATACTCTCCACTTTGGTACTGCCAGGGCTAAATAGGAAGTACCTGTCAATCCGCATCCCACTCTGAGGCATATCTAATGAGGTCATCAGCACAGAGAAGCACAGCAAGTGTGTGGGTATCAAAGAGAGAAAGAGGCAACAGAATGGATGTATTTAAAGTCTCAAGGCAAATTTTACAAAAAAATGATACGCATCTCTGCAATACCAGAACATTTTGACATGTATTATTATTTTAAAAAACCCTGCATATATAGGAAAGTACCCGTTGATCTGGAAGAAATGCACTTAGCTCCTTATTTCTGTTGTGGGCTGTTACCACACAGCATTTTCAAGGACTGAGTGTTGTCAGCCACCAGTTGTCTTTCACTAAACTACTTAGATCCTCCCCCTAGTCTATTTTAAAAAAAAAATTATAATACAGGATTTATATAACGCATACAGTTTGTGCAGCGCTTTACAAAATGAAGGTAGACATTACATGTTACAATACAATGTGGCACAAGAGGAAACAAAGGGCCCTGCTCGTTAGAACTTACAATCTAAGAGGAAGGTTGAGTGATACAAAAGATAATAGCTGTCGGGGGATGAGCTGATGGAGGAAATAAAAAGCAGTTTACTAGTTAGAAGCAGAATAGGCTTCTTTAAAGAGATGGGTTTTCAGGGATTGTCTAAAAGTGGATGGATTAGGAGTTAGTCTGACACATTGGGGTAGGGAGTTCCATAGGATGGGAGAAGCTCGGGAGAAGTCATGGAGGTGAGCATGGGAGGAGGAAACATGGACACTAGAGAGCAAAAGGTCTTGGGAGGATCGAAGAGAGAGCGGTTTGGTTGATATTTTGAGACCAGGTTGGTGATGTAGCTGGGGGGCAGAGTTGTGGATGTTGCAGTCTATTCTATACAGAAGACTGGCAGTCTATGATGAAGGCTAGGGGGATTAAAATGATTCTTTGTGAAAACTGTCCAGGATACTTTTTTTATTTGCACTAACATACAATACTCAGGACAAGCTTTCGGAGTCTACCCCCTTCTTCTGCTTGTCTTGAAAAATTGTATGTTAGTGCAAATAAAAAAAGTATCACGGATGATACTCATTTGTTTCTGTCACAAGTGCTACAATCACCTTAAACAGACACAGCAAACACTGTAAGTAGTATATTAACCACTTGTCTACCGGCACTTTCAACCCCTTCCTGCCCTGCTTTCAGCGCTGTTGCACTTTGAATGACAATTGCACGGTCATGCAACACTGTAACCAAACCAAATTTGTAGCAACTACTGTTTTTTTTATTTTTTGCTAAATAAACTAAAAAAAGACAACACTTTGAAAAGAAAATAATTTTTCTCTTTCACTGATGTGTGTTGATGAGGCTGCACTGATAGGCGGTACTGGTGGGCACTGATAGACAGCACTGATAGATGGCATTAATGGGTACTGAGAGGCATCATTGATGGGCACTGAAAGGAGGCAGTGATATGTGCATCGATGGGCACTGGTATGTGGCAATGATAGTTGGCATTGATAGGAGGCCCTGATGGACATTGATAGGTGGCACTGATGGGCACTGAAAGGTAGCTCTGATGGGCACTGATTGTCGGCAATGATGGGCAATGAAAGGCAGCACTGATGAGGCCTGCAGTGATTATCAGGGCACTGATGATCAGTGCCCTGATTATCAGTGTACATGTCCCCTCTGAGGAATCTCACCTATCAGTTCTCCTCTCCTCATGCACTGTCAGCATGAAAAGAAGATCTGCTAAATAACTGGCATTTTCCTGTTATCAGCTGTGATTGGACACAGCTGATCACATGGTAGAGCCTATGTAATCAGCTCTTTACCGTGATCAGTGATTCACTCTGTCCGAGACATGCAGCACACCACCAATCGACGCGCCAGACACACCCCTGGGGGTGTGCATGCGTGGCTAGAGTTGGGAGCTAGACGTCATATGATGTCCTCCTAGAACAAGAGAACTCCCATACGTCCATCATTTCCTTATATGGTTGGCGGGAGGCAGTTAAACAGCCTTAAATTTGAGAAGATCATTGACAGAGTTTACATTACATACACATAGAAATATGTGTCACTCAACTCACCAGGGAACCAGCAGTAAAAAACAGTGTCTAGGCTACCTATGAGAACTGCTTGTGAAAAAACTGCAAATAGAAGGATGAGACTTAACATTTTTGATGGCCTACAAATAAAAACAAACAAACAAATTAAAACAAATAAATATTAAGCAACATTCTAGAAGTACACTTTATCAGTTGCCAAAGTTCACCTCAAAGTGCATGTCCAGCTAAAACTTGATTTTGTTGTTTTGGATAGGATGGTGAAATGATGTGAACATCTTTCAGATTTACACTGTTACAGACATTTACCTTCACGTAATGTTAGAGTGACAATGGTTTCACCAGGCCAGTAGGTGAGGTAAAAAACAGCAGATTTTTCTAACCCTTTTACTAAGACACCAATGTATGCCACACGTCCTGGTGGGTTTTTACACACACACTCCCAGCTGCTGAAGGCATTCAACAATGTATGTAAATCTGACAAGCAGACTGTCGGCTATCAGATGGAAGTGGTCCATTGGTGTGCAGCTGCTGGATTCCTTCCACACACTCCTGTTACTGCGGACCCCCCCCCCCTTCCGAATGCGCTTCCACCATGTTTCCCAGGCTCTAAATGCCCGTAGGTAGGACTTGGGATCAGAAAGGTGGGTGTTGCCAGGAAGAAGGGGTAGAGATAAATATTGTGTGACATAAAAATTGGAACTACCCACTATTTTATTCTCTAGGGCAGGGGTCTCCAAACTTTCTAAACAAAGGGTCAGTTTACTGTCCTTCAATCTTAAGGGGGGCCAGACTGTGGCCAGCGGGAGTAAAAAAGTCCTGGTGTCAGTGGCAGTAAAAAAATGCTTCATGACTGGTGCAGTGGGAGGAAATAGTGTCACACTATTGGTATGAGTGGAAGAGGAATAGTGCCCCATCATTGGTATCAGTGGGGGGAATAGTGCCCCATCATTGGTATCAGTGGTAGGAAATAGTTGACCCATCATTAGTGTCAGTGGGAGGAATAGTGCCCCATCATTGGTGTCAGTGGGAGGAATAGTGCTCCATCATTGGGTGTCAGTGGGAGGGAATAGTGCCCCATCATTGGTATCAGTGGGGGAATAGTGTCCTATCACATTGGTGTCAGTGGGAGGAATAGTGCTCCATTGTTGGTGTCAGTGGGAGAATAGTGCCCCATCATTGGTATCAGTGGGAGGAATAGTGCCCCATCATTGGTGTTAATAAATCTAAATTATGATTCGGCACTTATATTGATGGCAAGCTTGCAAATATATTTGGTTTTTATGATTAGTCATAATTAAATAATATGTGTGAATGGTCTTTAGACAAATAGTAGTATTACAATTCTTCAATTATAGCTGAGACCAAAAGAATGATACAAGTTAAGCTGAGACAGTAAATATGGGTAAGTTAGCTGAGACAGCTAAACCAGTTGAAGGCTGTAGATATACTATATTTAGGCTGGTAGTTATGTCAAGGTTATTTAGAAGTGACTTACTATTACATTACGTATTTCAATAGTATCAGTGTGTATTTAGTATACGTTTCTAACATTGATTACATACAGTCAGGTCCATAAATATTGGGACATCGACACAATTCTAAACACATTTTTTTTGGCTCTATACACCACCACAATGGATTTTGAAATGAAACAAACAAGATGTGCTTTTAACTGCAGACTGTCAGCTTTAACTTGAGGGTATTTACATCCAAATCAGGTGAACGGTGTAGGAATTACAACAGTTTGCATATGTGCCTCCCACTTTTTAAGGGACCAAAAGTAATGGGACAATTGTGGCTTCTCAGCTGTTCCATGGCCAGGTGTGTGTGTTATTCCCTCATTATCCCAATTACAATGAGCAGATAAAAGGTCCAGAGTTCATTTCAAGTGTGCTATTTGCATTTGGAATCTGTTGCTGTCAACTCTCAAGATGAGATCCAAAGAGCTGTCACTATCAGTGAAGCAAGCCATCATTAGGCTGAAAAAACAAAACAAACCCATCAGAGAGATAGCAAAAAACATTAGGCGTGGCCAAAACAAACTGTTTGGAACATTCTTAAAAAGAAGGAACGCACCAACCGGGGTGAGCTCAGCAACACCAAAAGACCCGACGACCACGGAAAGCAACTGTTTGTGGATGACCGAAGAATTCTTTCCCTGGTGAAGAAAACAACCCTTCACAACAGTTGCCAGATCAAGAAACACTCTCCAGGAGGTAGGTGTATGTGTCAAAGTCAACAATCAAGAGAAGACTTCACCAGAGTGAATACAGAGGGGTTCACCACAAGATGTAAACATTGGTGAGCCTCAAAAACAGGAAGGCCAGATTAGAGTTTGCCAAACGACATCTAAAAAAGCTTCACAGTTCTGGAACAACATCCTATGACAGATGAGACCGAGATCAACTTGTACCAAGTGATGGGAAGAGAAGAGTATGGAGAAGGAAAGGAACTGCTCAGGATCCTAAGCATACCACCTCATCAGTGAAGCATGGTGGTGGTAGTGTCATGGCGTGGGCATGTATGGCTGCCATGGAGAACACTGGTTCTCTTGTATTTATTGATGATGTGACTGCTGACAAAAGCAGCAGGATGAATTCTGAAGTGTTTCGGGCAATATTATCTGCTCATATTCAGCCAAATGCTTCAGAACTCATTGGACGCCGCTTCACAGTGCAGATGGACAATGACCCAAAGCATACCTGCAAAAGCAACCAAAGAGTTTTTTAAGGGGAAAGAAGTGGAATGTTATGCAATGGCCAAGTCATCACACTAACTGACAGATCTGATTGAGCATGCATTTCACTTGCTGCAGACAAAACTGAAGGGAAAATGCCCCAAGAACAAGCAGGAAAACTGAAGACAGTTGCAGTAGAGGCCTGGCAGAGCATCACCAGGGATGAAACCCAGCGTCTGGGTGATGTCTATGCATTCCAGACTTCAGGCTGTAATTGACTGCAAAGGATTTGCAACCAAGTATTAAAAAGTGAAAGTTTGATTTATGATTATTATTCTGTCCCATTACTTTTGGTCCCTTAACAAGTGGGAGGCACATATGCAAACTGTTGTAATTCCTACACCGTTCACCTGATTTGGATGTAAATACCCTCAAATTAAAGCTGACAGTCTGCAGTTAAAGCACACATCTTGTTCATTTCATTTCAAATCCATTGTGGTGGTGTATAAAGCCAAAAGATGTTAGAATTGTGTCGATTGTCCCAATATTTATGGACCTGAACTGTATATAGTTTAGTGATAATACATTGATATGTTCTTAAGCTATAGTATTCTTTAAATATATGGCTGAGGGTTACGTCATTAGCTTATAATATTATGTACATCAGCATACATATGTTCCTGTCCATCAAAAACATTATGGTGAGTGTCGTCCCCATCCTTCTATGCCATACAAATAATTAAGATCACTAACTATGACGTAAATTTGCCTCATAAAAGACCATGAGACAACAGACAAGGGGACACTCACACACACAGTAACGCTAATACTGACACTCTTTCATACATAACACACACATACATACACGACTGAGAAGCTGCAACAGGTGCATGACTGCTAGATCATCATTTCCGTCTACTTCCGGCTTCTTCAACAAAGTTCATGAGAAAGACAAGGAACCATGAAGGACAGAATAGCACATGCCGTACTTCAATACCTAAAATGGGTGACTTTATCTCTGAACTTTTGCTTGTTATTTTTACAGTAGTTTTATCTACATGTTTATCTACATGTATGAACTGGTCATAATATGCTTTACATTGTTATTTTACACCATTGTGTGATAGAATAAAATCACACACATTTTTTATTTCAATGGCTCTTTCATTCATAATCGCCTCAAGACACTAGAAGAAGTATTATATGTGTCTAAAATCCAACAATTGGGATCAGTGGTAGGAATAGTGCCCCATCATTGTTATCAGTGAGAGGAATTGTGTCCCATCATTGGTGTCAGTGGGAGGAATAGTGCTCCATTGTTGGTGTTAGTTGAAAGAACTATGCTCCACTGCTGCTGACAGTGAGGGAATAATGCCCCAAGGGCTGGATAAAATGAAGCAAAGGGCCACATCCAGCCCTCGGGGCCGCAGTTTGGAGACCACTGCTCTAGGTATCTTCTTTCAAAAATATATAATGTTTTGTTGTTTTATGTAATTTTCTTCCCTGAGCTGTCATCAGTTATATAACTGAAAGGGCAGGGATAGTGATGAAATCAATGATCAAACATGGCCATAGTGTGAAGCAGTCATATATAGAAGCCATATATACATGTATACAAATATTTCAAGCATTTGCTATGGGCCTGGACAAACACAGATCTGTTCTGTTTTATTCTTTGGATACAATCTGAGTTAGCTGAAGTTGGACATATTTTAGTCTTTCTGACTTGATGATGAGCTGATATGTTTCTGCTATGTTTACTATTTCACATCAAGTATTAGAATTGTTGATGTGATATTAATGGTCTTCATGCTATGTTTAATACTATGTTTGTAATAGTGAAATCTTTTAAGGAATTTCAAGCAGAGATTGTTGTGCCCCACATATATTATGCGCCTTTATTACAATCTGTTTATTTTGTGCCTTTGTGTGTTCCTCTGTATTCTCTCCTGTTTATCTCTAGCTAGTAACTGACTATAGCTATACACTCCCTGCTCCTTTATGCTTGTTTAGGGACAATTGTATTGCAGAATTAGGGCTTAGAAAGTTAATTGTCTTCTTACACTTCAAAATACTAGAGAGACATAACTCTGCATTGTACTTTTATAAAGTAAAAATACTAGTTGGATCCTGTAAAGTCAGCAAACAAACATACTATCTGGACAGACTGAAATCTAAGGAGGCATGTCATTGCATAAAGTGGCATTTTGAAACAGAAAGAATGATGATGTGGCAGACTGTACCTGGGTACTAGAGATAGTAGATTGTAGAGGAGGGATTGTGACTGAGAGGAACAACAAGGCAGTATTTTGGTGCCCATGGACAGGGACAGTATGAAGGGGAGTGGCAGGAGCAGTCACATTCTATTCCTCTTGATGTTTGCTGCCGCCGTGGGGTTCAGGCCACTGTTATTCCCTCTCTTATTCCCACTGTTAAGCCTATGGGCTATTCCCCATGAAGTTCAACAGTCTGGACCTTTTTTTAACACACCTGCTTCTGTTTTTGTATTCTCTGATCTGCAAACGTATCAAGAGTGGTAATTGTCTACCAATCATTTAGGTACTCATGTATGAAGAGACACATGATTCTTCATCATAAAGCTCAGTGAGAGCAGCACATCAATTAAATAACCAGTTGGCAGCAAAAAGGCCAACACAACTCTTTTTTCTCCTAGCTTGCTCATCCATTTTTATCACTTACCCAATTCGTCCATCAGCATCTACTGCAACATCTGTGGCCTCAACCAATAGGGAGGGCTCGAGGTAATGGCAAGGGGTTTGTGATGCTTATATTATGGTACATTAAGCAAGGAAGAGGCACAGCATGGGGCCATGCAGAATACGACCCATAGCATAGCATTGAACCTTGCTGTAAGTCTCATCACAGGTAACACTTCAAAACACAGTGGGTGTCACCAAGTGCAGTAAACGCTATACCGGAAACAGTACAATCCCCTAATTATTAGAGATCTGAGTACACAGCCTTGACACACATCCTTGACAACGTATCCAGCAGAACCAGCTTGGACTCACAAAACACGTTATGCTGTCCTACTAACAATTAGCCGACAGCTAGCTAACAAAACTGACAAAAGCAGTGTTGTGTGGTCATTCCAAAATTTAAATTTACTTCTGTGAATTATTCTATAAAACTGCAATACAATCACATAAACTGAAATTGCATATGTTTGTATACATGTCTCTCACAAATGCTTTACAATGAATACATTTTGTGCAAACAGCTAACTACAGTCACATTGAATACATTTAAATACGATCTAGCTATGTATTTGACTTTAACTTTAAACATCAATGGAAGAACTTACAGGTATATTGAAGGGAGAAGGAGGCCTTAACGTGGGTGTGTTCTTCTGGAGCTAAATGGCTTTGCAATGGCAGATGGGAAATCTTCATTTTCACAAAGCAGGGTCAATTCATGTTCTTGTTGAAGGGTAACAATTAAAAAACAGGTACAGTTGCAGTGAATGGCCAATAGAGGATGGCTCCCTACTCAAACACAAT